GGTCTTTTCCAACCTAAACGATTCTATGATTCTATGTTTGCATGGAAGGCCATCATTACATTTTTACAAATGGAATGCAATTCCCTCTAGTGGCAAACCTGCAAAATGAAATATACTGGTGATAAACACAAAGTGGATCTAATTGAATGGATGGGAAAAGAATGCCATTCCAGGTTTTTAAGAGCTGCAATTTTAAGAGAATAATCCAGTGACCCTAGTGTGAGCAAATTTATTATTGCATCTTTCCAATGAAAGAAGATAAGCTATATGAGTGAAAGGAGCCAGTAAAATAACGGAAGTATAATCTCAATATGTCAAAAATACTTGTTTACAAATACAGGTCAAGTGTCTTTCAGTTATCAAACACAGTCACCAACTGTTTTAGGGTTGGAATTTTAACACTTTCTTAACATATTCTAAAAACTGACCAACAAAATGTGGGGAGAAATCCCCACGATGTTTAGGATTTCTAAATTAACAAAATATATTATGGGCTATTGGGAAATTCCCACTTTTTTTTAGAAAAGAATACTGGTTAACAGTACTATTGGTTTTGCTCACACAATACCATTCTGTAATGCTTATGGGTAAATCCTCTCTCAAAGTATGTGCAAACTACTTGAAAAAAGAATCCTTGAAAACCCAAACAGCATTTTAAATCTTCATTAATTCTTCCAGCACCGATCTTCATGCTTTTCAGTCTATGAGGTTCAAAAGCTATTACACAGAGTTCCTAAAGTATAAACAAAGTTCCAAAGTCATTACGCATGAGCTGTCCTTCATTTATCACAAGTGATTTTATACAACCTCAATTCACAATTTTTATTTCTGAAATAATTATAAAACAATAAATCTGAGAGAAACGTGAAGGGACTTCATATCTGTGTGAAACACAGTAGTTATGTGAACAAGATGAGGCAGAGTTGCAAGGTATATTTACTTATTAACTCAGCATTTTTCTTTTCTCAGTAATGAGCACCTCTGTTTCTATCAGCATGTTCTATCACCATGTGATGAGAAGCATAAAAATTCCAGATTTCCAGACAGAATTTCTGTATGGGTTTCCTGTTATACCTAAGCTCTGATGATGCTTTATGAACAGTTTATAATAAGTCCTTTTCATAGTTGTAGTCTCTCTTGTTAAAACCTTAAGCCATAATTTGTTCAGTCATT